CCAAGCTTTTCTCCCCCCACCCCTCCCCACAGCAGCGGGGGAGGCTTGGAATTGGGGAGAGGATTAAGCTGGGCTTTGAAAGGAAGTTTATCTAAGGGAGGAAGGCTGAACTCAATCCTGAGCACGCAGCTCTGGAGTCTGGGGGGCGGGGTGCTGAGGGAAGGAGGGAAGTGAGGGGGGCAGGATGGAGGATGGGGTGCAGGGTGCCGGGAGAAGGACCCAGGACTGGATTTTATGTAAAACAAGTTAATGTTCAGAAAGCGCTTTGAAGAAGTTCAGTGTGCCTGACAGTTGTGGAGCCTTAGCTGGGCCCTGTTTTAAAAGTCTTCAACCTGATGAGACTGCCCTGAACGGAGAGGAGTTGGGCAAAGAGGGGGTGGCCTGGGTGGCTGGGGGCACCACCTAGAAAGCCAACTTCGGGGAGGAAAAGCTCTCAGGCCTGGGTGGTGTCAGGACGAGGTCTCTCTGAATTAGGGGGACCCCCCCCCCAATTCCCAGGGTCTGAAGTGGTTGTTCTTAATCCTCCCCACCTTGGGCCCAGCTCGTACCCCTTCTGAGAACAAGGAAAGGTAGGCTGGAGAATAGGAACGTTCCCCCAACGGGAAGGGCCAAGGGCCAGCTGAGAAAGGCGGAGCTTCCCTCGAGTGGGAGGGACTGGGGTTGGGCACAGAGAGGACTTCAGGGTGTAGGAGTAGGAGAGCTGAAATAATGACAAAGGGAGGCTATGGCATTTCCCTTGGGGGACCCCCCTCCCTAAAATGAGAGAGGTCCCTGGATGTCCTAGAATGAGAAGCAGAGGTTTTGGTCAGAGGGACAGATGAAATGATTCTCGGGCCTTCTCTCTCGCCTCCTTGCTCCCAATGATGGATCAGATCACTCATTCAACAAGCACATAGTACTTCCTAAACTAGCAACTGATACCTACAGAGGCTTTCCCTGGGGCAGACACAGCGTGCTTTATAAGTATCATCTCATTTATCCTCACAATCCCATGATGTAGATGTTGTATTAGCCTGGAAACTGGAGCCCAGAGAAGTTAAGTAACTTGCCCAACGTCACACAGCTAATAAGGGGCAGAGCCAGGGTTTGAACCCAACAACTAGCTCCAGAACCCACACTTCAATGCCTACACCATGACACTGCCATGTGCTTAGCACAGGGACGGAGCCCTTGCCCGAGGATTCTCTGGGCGCAGGGCATGGCCATTCTTGGGCTGTGTCTGAACTTCCCAGGAGCCTCGAGCCCTGGCTGTTGATCTTGCTCCTCCTCCACCCCTGATGCCTTCCAGGTTCACAATCTCTAAGGAGGGGGGGCTTCTGTTCCCCGTGGGGTCCGGGGCCTAGGAATGGCTTTTCTGTGGGGGATTAGGGGAGAGTGAGTAGAAACATACATTTTGCTGGTTTGGAGCTTGACTGAAATGAAGGGTGATGAAGAGGGGTCCATGGCAGCCCCTCTCCCGGCTCCACCGGACACTGTCCTGCTCCCCAACTCAAGGTGGGGTCCCCTGCACACCTCCCCTCCCAGCCATGCCCACCAGCCCTCTCCCAGGCCAGCTTCAGACAAGTTTCCAAAACCACATGAGGTCTCCAGCTCCAGCTCGTGCCCAGGCCTGGACGCCAGGCAGGGAGAGGTCAGTCTCAGGGGCAGCACAGGTAGCTGGGAGTTTGGGCAGACAGGCAGCCAAGGCCAGGTCCCCCAGCTCTGCCAGCCTGTCTCATCCTCTCAGCCCTCTAAGGCTTACCCTCCTGGCATTTCTAGAAGTTCTTCTGTCCCACCACCATCGTTTTTGTGGTAATTCAGCCCAGAGCTAGTCTGAGGACTTCCTTCTGGTCACACGCAGGGGAATTTAACCTAGACCCGTGGTCGGCAAACCGTGGCTCGCGAGCCACATGCGGCTCTTTGGCCCCTTGAGTGTGGCTCTTCCACAAAATACCACGTGTGGGCGCGCACGTACAGTGTGATTGAAACTTCATGGCCCGTGCACAGAAGTTGGTATTTTGTGGAAGAGCCACTCTGAAGGAGCCAAAGAGCCGCATGTGGCTCTCGAGCCGCAGTTTGCCGACCACTGACCTAGACTAAGCTCTGGCCTAGTCTCCAAATCACCCAGGGACCCCAGATCCCATACTTCAAAGGTTGAGTTTGGGTCCTTGATTGGCACCAAATGGCATCCATCCCAGCCCCCAGCCCCCAGCCCCCAGAGGCGCTTCCCTGTGTCTCCATCACGCGTCCAGCCCAGCACACTGTGATCATGGCAGGTGGAGGGCTCTGGGGGGAGAGGGCCCTGGGCACGGGGCTGGAGGCAGCTGTCCCACTGCCAGGCTTTAGTAAGCATGCAGCCACCCTGGCCACGCTCCAAGCCTGTGACTCAGGCTTTGCTGAGCTGACTGGCCCACAGTGGCCGTCCTGACACACCCTCGCCTGGTGCAGGGGAGCTCCAACTCAGTGCTCAGAACCCCAGGGGCCGTGACGGGAGGTGGAAGGGTCAGCCAGTTCAGGAGATCCGTATGTGGCACCCGCCTTGCTGACCTTTCTTGACCCCCTGGGGCCACCTTAGAGACAAGTACGCAAAAGGTAATCCATCCGGAACTATCTTTGCAGCCACCTCTCCAGCCAGCAGCTCAGCCACGTGGCAGGCCGGCAGGGCCTGGGGAGGCCTTCCGAGGTCATCTCTTCCACTCCCCGGCCTCCATGTAGGAAAGCCCCAAGGAGGGAAATGCCACATCCTTTCTTGCATGCTGCTCGCCGTGACTCACTCCTGGTGCCTGGAAAGATCTGGGTGTCTGCTCTCAGCCTCCCCCGCTGGTTGCAGCTCTCGCTGTGAGGAGAATGGGAGGCTCATTGCGTTTGTCCTAAGTGACCCCGGCCACCCAGTGCCCTCTGGGGCCGTTGAATACCTACGATGCAATAGTGGAGAAGGGAGAGGGAAAGGAGACCAGGAAAGCGGGGAAAAGGAAAATTCAGAATGTGTTATTTTTTAAGTAGTTGGTTTTACAATTGTATAGAATTTAATGACATACACACCCTTTTTACCTACCCCTTCTGCCCTTGTCCCTTGAGGCAGGGCAGGTGGTTTAACTTCTCCAGGCCTCAGTTTTCTCATCTGTAAAATGGTAATGACGATGAGACCCTCCTCCCAGGCAGGGGTGCTGTGAAGATTCAGGGAGATCCTACTCATTAAGGGCTTAGCCAAGTGCCTGGCACCTAATCCACAGTCAACCACAGCCTGTGCGGCGGGGCAGGCAGGTGTTCTGATCCCAGGGAGAGGACAGAGCACGCGAGGCTTGTTGATTTCAAAGGACAGTCAGTGTCAGAGACCAGAACCTTCCTAGGTCACCTGACGCAGGGCTCTCCGGCTCTGAGCTCCATACCATCGTGTCCCAGGGGAGGGGGATCGAAAGGCCAGGTGAGCAGCCCAGCTGCCTCGGGGTTACACAGGGGCTGGCTCTGCAGCGGGGGTTGAGTCTGGGCCACTGCCCGCCCCTCCCCAGGCCCCTCTGAGAGTGAGGACCTGGAGCCTCCCTTCCCACAGGATGGCCCTGACTAAAGAGCAGGTGGTGCTTCTCCAGGGATGTCCGCAGAGATGGCCGGGGGAAGGGGGAAAGCCCAGGGCTGGGCGCACCACTCGAGCTGGGGGCAGCGGGACTTCCCATGCCCCCTGATTGACTGCACCCCCTGGTTGCTCCCCTGCTTGGGGATTCCCTAATGGGTGGCTTGAGGCTGAGTCCTACCCCTGCCCCAGGGATCTCAAAAGGAACCAACTCCTCCTCCCCTGACCCTCCCATGGGACTAGAGGGAGGTGACAGGGCCATGAGCCCCCTGGGGACCTAACCTGTCACATGTTGCCCAAGACAGGTCCCTGCAGGACTCTCCCTGCCGGGGCCACCCTGTTCCCCTCCCTTCCCGCCACAGGCTGGCAGAGGGGCCTGCAATCTGCCAGGACAGGGATTTCAGCTCAGGGAGCAAACCCCTAGTGAGGACCTGCTGTGTGCTGGGCCCTCTGCTAGGCCTGGGGGTGGGAGATCGAGAAGAGCCGTGGCACTTCCAGCGTGATGGGGAGGTAGATCGTGGGCAGGGCTGAAACGGCTTTAAGAAAAGACATTGCTGCAACTTGGGCCTCCCTGGCTGTGACTCCACCAACCTGAGGGGCTCAGGGCAGGTAGGGCTGGGAAAAGAATGTCGTTACTGCTTTTCCCTGCACCTTTCCCTGTAGCTAGGTTCTCTGGGCTTCCCAGGGAGGCCTCACCCAAGGCAGGGGACAGAAAGCTGCTCCACTCTGAGAGCCCGACATGTTCTGGTGGGAAGGAGTCACCTGGTATAATCCAGTCCCTGTTTGACCTTTGAGGAGACTGACACGCCAGAGAGGGCAGGTGGCTCGCTGGGGGTCACACAGCAAGTGCGGTGCAGAGCTAGAGGGAGGAGCCTGCCCCCTAACCCGGCCTGGGCTTCTTTCCACCCGCTGAAGACAAACTGCTGCGACACACCGAGGATAGCGCCCTCTGGGCTGTGTGTGTGCCCTCTGCACAGGTGTGCTGGAGGATGTGACGTGTACGTGCCAGAGCCCAGGGCTCCTGCCACGCGGGCCACCTTTTGAGTCCTCGCCAGGCTGCAGCCTGCCCTCCTGGCCAGGCCCACCTCACAGTGTCGCAGGAGAGAGAGCAGAGCTGGGAGTGGCGTGCTGGGCCTTCCACGCCTGGGTTCTACCCACCGTGTCGCGGGTCTCACCGCCCTGCACCCGAGTTAGCGCGTTTGCCAGGCAGCCGTGGCCAGCACACCGGGTGCAGTGTTAACTCATTAGTCCGGCGACAACCTTACGAGGCAGGCGCTGTTGCTGCCTCCATTGCACAAACGAGGAAACGGGGAGCCCGCCACTGTCCACAGACACCCAGCTAGTGGGTGGCATCTCCCTCGGGAGCCGCTCTGCTGTACTGTGGGTGGGGCCTGGATGCCTGCCCTCCCTGGAGTGGGGTCAGGTGGGCAGGCTGACAGGGCCCAATCCCACAGGTGCCCGTTTCGGTGGCCATGATGTCGCCGCAGATGCTCACCCCACAGCAGATGCAGCAGATCCTGTCACCCCCACAGCTGCAGGCCTTGCTCCAGCAGCAACAGGCGCTCATGCTCCAGCAGGTGAGTCTAGCCCTCGCCCCAGGGCAGCTGAGAAGTGGAGGCCAGTGCCCCCTCCCCCAAGACTGATCTGCATTCCTCCAGGGCAGTGGGGGGAGGTCAGAGGTCAGGCCTCTCAGAGAGCAGTGCCTTGGCCCACCTGCCTCCAGAACCCCTGGGAAGGGCCAGGTGCTGGAACATCCTGGCTCCTAGCACCCTGACTTATTCAGGGGACCCACCCAGAGGCAGGGCGGGCTGGGCGGTGCGGGATGAAGCTTCCCCTCTCCCTTCCGCACTCACAGAGCCTCTCAGCAGAAGTCTCCCTGCGGGCCCCGGGTCCCACTGCCCCAGGAAGGGTCCCCACTCCTGCCTGCAGGAGCCACCACCTGGCTGGGGTTGCTCTGGGTCAGCAGCCGCGGCCCCTGCTGATGCACTCTCTCTGCCTCCCGCCTGCAGCTGCAGGAATATTACAAGAAGCAGCAGGAACAGCTCCACTTGCAGCTCCTCACCCACCAGCAGGCTGGGAAGCAGCAGCCCAAAGAGGTAAGGGGCTCAGGCAGGGCCCTGCCCGTCGCCCGCAGC